TAGATATGGGAGAAAAGCTCGGATTTCTGCTACCGGTGTTCTCCGAAACATAACGCGTTGGATCGCATCGAATCTTCGCGCCGTTCACCGCAATTATTTGTGTCGGTGATATACAAGTCGCCTGTGTCTTCGGAAATATCGAATTTACCAGTTAGATTTCGCGTGATCTTAAGTCACGTTACGATAATACGATGTGTATTTAAAGAAATATATCTTTTTAACCCTTAATTAGGGACGTGATACAAAATGACCTAACTACGTACGCGATTCTTTTGCAGAATACTACCGTTCCTCGATAAAACTGGTACTAAATAATTTTGTAAACAATAAAAAATAAAAATTAAAATATATTTATCATCAAATTTATTTACTTTTTATAGGTATGTTATTCTATTTCTATCGGAGGAAGAATCATATTTATTTTCATAATCAATTGAACAAATGTTCTTAACGGCTGAGTAGCGAAGCTAAGAACGTAACAAAATATCCAACAAACAAGACAACTTGGGTGTAATTAAAGGTTAATAAAGAATCATCACTTAAGTTGCGCGTCAAGATTAACTAAAAATATCATTATACTGTTAAATACTTTCTTCATCATCGATATTTATTTCGTATCTCCAAGACACATTCTTCAGTGGTCTCAAGTACCATGCTCGTACGATAACTCAAGAATACATACCAGGCATACTAACGCATTAGTACACTTGATACTCTATCATCGGCCTGAGAATAAATAAGCAAGTACTGTGCAGAAATGAGGCGATAGCTAGCGGGACAGCAAAGGGGCAAGAGGGGTACTCTGCTCGCTCCGTCTGTGACCCTCCCAAAGCAGCCACCTTAAGGTTTTTGGCGGCACATGCTGGACATAGGTACATAGTAGAATCTCCGTATCGGCAAGTAATACGTTCCAAAACCTATCGCGGATACAGAAAACCGCAGTATGCTAATGCTTCAAAGTTCGTTGGATCGTTCTAACTCACTTAGCTTCGATACGCCTCGTTCGCTCTCCCCGTCACGCGATGCAATACGATCCGATTTGTAGATATGACCATTTCGACGCATAACAAAAATACATGTGCTCTGTCTTTATAATTATATAAGAAAAGGTGGGCCTATTACACTATAACCAATCAAACCCGCATTCCCTCCGTTAGCTGACTTTCATCTCTGTACAGTACTGATCAAACCTGAGAGAACTCGGTAGCTGTTTCGTCCTCCTTAAAATTAAACGAAAATTGCCGCAATTCATTCAGTTTATTTCGTATTATTTAATCACAGGCTGATGCAAATTGACCGGAAGGGGCTTGTCGATCTCGAGAGGAATCTTGATTTTTGCAGAGGCTGAGATTCATGTATAAATCTCATATTCTCACAGAGTGTATACGAACGCGCGTGTTAAAAAAAAGAAAGAAATACGCAAAACATTTATCTTGGCTATGAGAAACGCGGTGCTCCGGCTTCTCGCATATTGTAATACGCAGACGAAACCCGAGAGGCAGAGTGCCGGCGTCGTTGTGCCACACAGGTTTATATTTATACAAGCCGACCAGCTTATAATAGCAACCCAGCCTCGCGTTTGTACAAAATGCATTCATATACGTTGCCTTAGGTCAAGCACTTGTCTCCCAGGTCTGACCAGATTTCCTTATACGATCATACACAGGCACGTCTACGGATCGACACTTTCTCCGCGTGCTCGCGGACGCGAATAACCATTGTTGTTCGCCGCTTATCCTCCTCTCTCACCCTGGGGACGTCGGCGGAGATGATCCCTCGACGTGATCGAGATTTGGAAGTGCAATTCTTTGCAACGATATCAGAGATTATCTAAACTTACATTTTTATTTACCCCCTAAATCGCTAAACTTCCCTGAATTTTTATATTGAGGAGAATATTGTAACTTTGTGATTAAGAATCTAAGGAAATACGAGAATTGAACTTTCTACAAACAGAGGTTCCTTTTCTCTAAGGCAATGAACTTCCTCAAGTTCCTGTAATTATTTCTATAGTTATCAAAGATTTGGTAAGGTTTAGAATTTTTTTTAAATAAAGTAACTTCCCTAGCTACATATGCATAATTTATTCTATACTTTTAATGGTTAAAGATTTAAGATAGATTTTGCTAATTCTAAGGTATCGAATTTCTTTTGAACGAGCATCTCTCATGTTTCTACAGCTTCCTCTATAAGTGCCTTCCTAACGAAGAACATAAGGTAATAGGCGTGCGAAAGAGGATTCCAATTATCGAATTTAGCAGCCGCAAGGGCTAACGGAGTGTCCATTGTCTAGATCTAATTTTATAAACTTTATCTGCCACGACAGTTATGCGGATGTGCCGTCGTGAAATTCTACGCCGACCAGTTCGGGATATGCACACGGGAAAGAAAGTTCGAGACGAGTTTAGCTTACTTCAAACAGCCTTCATGGTATCTATATCCATACATAAATACAATTAACTGTATCTGTACATTTACCAACCATCTCTTTCATCATCTCAGTTTTCTTAAATAATAATAACAATATATTGCAACTACAGTCAGCTCTACCTCTGTAATATCTACCAAAAGCTTCACTAAAAGTAATTCATACCTTCTACCTTCTAACTTTACATATACAAAATCCTTTCTCTACAGATTAGTCACATTTTCCCTTGATTATAGTTAGCTCTAATTTTATACCCACCAAATCTTTCCTTCGTTCTCGCTTTTCGAACAATTCAAGAACGAAGGTTGACTGGCCACCAGATTAGCCACAATCACGGCCGTTTCGCGACTATTCCGGGCAAAGTAGAATTAAGACGTGGAGAAAAAAAGGAACAGAATGGTCTCGCGTTTAATTAGGAATCCGTTCTATAAAGAGGTACAGTGTAGTCCACGCGGCGCTCCTCGTCTAGACGAATGCTGCAAACTAGAATTCCGGGCCCAGCCTACAGACGAAGGTCAAGACTGAACCTATATAAAAATAGTGCACGGCTATTTCGCCAGTCAATCGCGGTACAATGAACTTAACGATCCGAGCTTCCGTTTCACAATGCAACGTTTCTAGGTACTCGTTTTAACTATACATGGCAATTCTATTACCATATTCTTCTGTAGGGTGAGAAAGTTAATTTTCGAAACAGATCGAGTATAGTCGGTGGAAGAAATATAGTGATCGTAAATTAAAGTATTAAGTATAGTGGCACGGATTAATGTAGTGACATTCAGTGTCGACATGCATTTATATGAATCAAAGCTAAGGCATACTTCACGATTGATGACTAAAGTTGCGAGTTTTTATCTTCTCAAGTTTCTGCCGATATGATCGAACATGTAAACTTCGACGCTTTACCGATCTTACAAACTCGCTGTATTTCTTCCACCAACTGTACATCGTATGATTTCGTGTAAGAAGTAAATTTCAAACGAGGGAAAAGAAGAATATCGTGTAAAATTACATGATCAATACGAAAATTTCTTATTTTTTTTGCTCTGTTTCAATTCCTCGTGAATGAAGATTCCTTATGAATATATCGCGGGCAGCTGTTACATCATCGTGACATGTCGATCAATAAACATATTAATATCATCGCTGTAATAACGTTAAGTAATCCACGATTACGGAAATCTTCAATTAGGTAATGTACATGGATTACGGGTAATTAAAGCTGGAAATAAATATTTACAATAAAACGTAGACAGACATACGTGAGAAATATAATCAACCTTTTTGGCACGCAGGTACGTGTGCACCGAAAAGATATTAGATTTAGATATACATGTATGTATGTACGTATGTATGTATATATGTATAAATAAAATGACATGAGTAGGAAATTTTTCATGAAGTCGAAGCAATTTTACCAGGTTCAAAATAAATATAAAGGGATAGAGGAGGTTTGGCAAAGAGCCGCAATTTCTCCCCCAGACTGCTAAGAATAAACTGTAGGAATACCGTCGACAGTTATCTTATTTTATGTAGAAGGAATCTTGCGTCTAATACGAAAAAAAAAAACTGAACGCAAAATTTCTATGATTCTATGCATCGAGTCAATGTGTATTTCAATAAATTCATAGTATAAAAAACAGTTTCATTCTTCGTAAGGTACTACTTCCGGTTTTTAGCACCTTAATCTGACAAAATTTAATTGCATATCATACATTTCCTTTAAATTATGAAACAAAAAATATTATGACTTCCACAATTCTAATTTTAAAAGGTGTATCATGTTAAAACTTCAAATATGGACGCTCAATTATGCTCACGAGAATAAAATTTCGCGCTTGTGCGCAAAGATCGAACTTTTACAATCAATCGCAGAATTTAACTAAGTAAAATACGTTTAATGAAATAAAGTAGTTATAACTAACACTTGTAACGCAGAATATCAAATTCGCGCCAAGTTCCTATCAAAAAACTTTCGCGCATGCGCTCGAAGGAAATACCACACAGCCGAGCGCGAATTTGACCAATTTTCGCGAAATAAATTAAAACGAGGCGAACATACATATACAGTGTTCCCCGGATTAGTGTAACATTTTTCGCCCCGAACAGTGTAAAATTCATATCCCCACCTCGCTTTGCCGGAGCGAGTCCCTGCAGTCGTGCGGCTGGCGGCTGGCTACTGAGAAAGATAAGATAAGTGTAAGGAGTGGGTCATCCTATAACGGAAATCAAAAATTTTTTGTTTTTCATGTTACATTCATGAGAATACAATTAATAGATAGATGAAGTTTTTTCAATTGAAATGAGTACAAGCACGATCTCATTCTGACTATTTGTTATTTCAATAATAATATATGTCTTTCAATAAGGATATTTATTTGCAATAAAATGTATTTATATTTTAATATGCTTACGACATTTCGAAATAAAATAATACCTAAATATTTTTCACTTCAAGCAGTATCAGAGACATTCCAACTATCAAATTCACCTTACGCAAAATTTGAATAACGAATGAACCGAATGAGATCGTGTTTAAACTCGTTTTCAGTGGAAAAACTTCACCTGTTAATTTGTAATACATATATGAACATTTTTAATTTTCATTATATGATGACTCATCCCTATCGATAAATGCTTGATCGTCGCCGGTCGCGGAAAACCTGACCGATGCCCTATCTCGCTCTTTCTCAGAGTATCCCTACTCAAGTGACGCTCATAAATATCGTGCTCCAGAACGTGATGACAACTTCCCTTACCCCGGTTAGTGTAACTTCGCGGTCCTGAACGCCGTTACACTGATCCGGGGAACACTGTATCACGTACTATTGGGAGCTAGAAAGATGTCAGTCGGGCTGTTACAGGGGCAAGGAGAGATTTGGTTCAGTCCGCCTATTCCCACTCCTGACGCTTTCGAAGCCCCGAAACATGACCCACGCTGACATAGTAGTAGGATTCCAATATCCACGAAGAATACGGAAATCCTACTAATATGATTGTTTCCATTTATGTCTCATGAAATTGAACATATTCTTAATATGTATAAGCATGAAAAGATAAAAGTACCATAAACTGACGTAAAGTTAGCAGGTTTTTAATGTTTTGCCGTGTAATTAAAAAATAAAAATCTGTGCCTACGACAATGCTTCGCAATTTCGGCACTCGCTATCATTCTATCCCACTCAGTTCTGATACGTTTTGATCACTTTCTTTGTTACGCGTTGCCTACAAGCGTGGACTAAGTAGATATGACCCTTCGGCCAATTAGGGAAATACGTGTATGTCGTCTTTATGTATTTACCCGCGAAGGTAGTCCTACTGCACTAGAGCCAATCAGAGCCGACTAACATCTTTCTAGTTTGCAACAGTAGGTGGCAATATATTACGAAGGAATGTTTTTTCATATGCGAACAACAAATCACTCAACCGATAGTGGAATACATATGTGCACGTTTTCACACTTTAAGAGGTTATTTGCTCGTTGTCTATGGAAGATATAATTCGTATGAAGGTCATTGGGTCAAGACCGGTTACCGGCAACGTTATCACACACCCCAAATGAAATCTCAATAAACGTAACCTTCGGACACGATGCGCAAAAGAATATAAAAAAATAGAGACGTATATATCGTATGGCTCGGACTTACCACTCATTGTTGCAAAGAAACTTTGTTTCTTTTTCGATGGACAGATTTTATACACTTAATACTTGCCGATGCCCGCACAACTGACAAGAAGTCGTACGCACTTCATCAGCGCTACAACACGAGTGACGACTCGCGACCCTCCTTCCATACCGCGGCGCTCTCCCCTCCTTTAATACTAGCTACTACCTGATCTGCATTATCGACCGTAGATTCTGCAAGCACTGCCACGAACAAGATACATAATAGACTCCACAATAGTGAACATTTTTCATTTTAATATTTTAGACGCTATCCTTAGCTCTTCTTATATTCTTATATTCTTAAATGGCATTCAACTCTTAATTTTGTAGTGATAAAGTACTCTGAGTAATTAAATATTTCTTTCTTGAAATTATATACAAAAAATGAATATTATATATTTTATCTATGAGGAAGTTAAATTCCATATGACAGATAGGAGCTAGATTTTATACAATAATTATATATTTAACAAATCATTCAAATTATTTAATAATATGTTTCTAAACATTTGATGGCATTATTTTAAATATTCCATAGACAAATCTGTGTGTACGGTAGTTTGAAGGAAATAGAAATTGAATAAAAAGATGTTTAATAAAAGAGCATTCAGTCGATCACTTACCTAGGCAAATAAATCGAAATGAAAACCAGGTGTTGTTATGACAAGCGCAATGGAATAGCATCTAATAATCCATGCGCGCGAATTTTACAGCCGTTCGCGACACCTGCCGCGAAAACACTGCGGTAGCCGATGCGTCGTTTCAGTTCCGGGCGTTCCTCGACGACAAACAAACATGCATCGTGTAGCGGGAGAAGGTACGGCAGTGGACGAAATTGTAGCGATTCGTTCGCTCGTGTGCTATAATCCTTCTAATCTTGGAGTAGCAGTCAGTACGACACCGTAAAATGTAGCTAACCCCCTTAGATCGAATTCGTCGTGGCTGCCGGAAAACTGCACACCCATGAGATCAACTTTCGTTTCCATCTCCAGCACGTTGACGTCCGCTGAGGAGTGGCGCGCAAAAAGATGGCCAGCTCGCCAACCAGCATTGAAAATCAAATAGACAGCTTTTTGGAACAGTTCAAACGTAGTGCCTCCCGCGCGATGGAGGAATCCCACAGGTCCAGTTACAATGCTTGCAGCAGTAGTATCAGTCATAGTCGGAGTGGGAACCTGGATCTCGAGATCTTGGAGGCTGGTAAGTTTTTCCCTGAAACTTTACAACAATACATTATCCAAACACGTTTGAATGTTTATTGTTTTCTGAGAATTCTTCGACTCCTTTCTTTACCATATGTACACTCTTTTAATTGTTCGCTATTGTCGATTGATTTTTCGGGCGTTTCTTGCACATTTCAATGCACCCGTTTTCTGACAGTGTTGACAGTTTGAATACATCTACACCGTCCTTAGCATGCAGTTTCCACTCTAGAATTTTCACAAAAGGGTACGCAATTGAACTTTATTTAATTTATTTTGTTTTAAACATAATGCATTATTGTGTTATTATTTTTGATAATACGTACCTTTTCATCAAAATTGTATAATTATTTAATTACACGAGCTTATTTTAAAAATAAGATAATTATTATTCATATACTAGATTAA